CCTCCTAGAAGGACAAGCCTCGAAAAAGGAAGAGTCCCGGAGCCTTGTGCTCCGGCCCCGGGTAGGGCTCCTTCGAGAGCAGCAGGCAGGGGAGCAGCACCTGGGCTCCTACAGTTCAGCTCCTCACTACACAAGTCTTACACAAAACATTTATTTTATAAATAAAGAAGATGTCGTTTAAGATGGACAAGAAGCTAAAGAAATCTGATGTATCCATTACAAAGACATGTCACAAGATAAAGCGCAGTTAACAAACGCGCAAAATGATGTCGTGTATAAACTCAAACTGAGAATGTGGCAAAAGAGTTGCAACAGACAAAGTCTAAGGTCTTTTATTACATTTTATAGATTAAATATATATTCAGTAGAGTCTCTGTTTTAAAACACATGAAAGGAAAAAATACATTCTTCATGTACATATGAAATACTGACCACGTAGCAGGGACCATGTACAGTGCAAAGTATGAACACAGCTACACAGACATCACCACCTTGGACGATTATCAGGCTTTTTCTACAGTAAAATTAGAACAAGTTAACATTTCTGCTTCCAAAGAGAAATCCATACCCTTCCTTTCCATGGCATTTTGCGGGATTGTGCAGGAAAGGGTTTTTTAACTTTTTAAAGGTATCATAAAGTCCTTGCATTGCACGATAAATTATCAAACTTCACAAGCTTTACCTCTTTAACACATTCATAATCTTAGTACAACTGGTATTGTGATTGCTGCCCAACTCCAAGAGTTCAGGGAAAACCAGAAATATCTATAACCTGGTAAAGAGAAAGGAATGAATCAGACCGATTTTTGCAATGTCCAGGAAACAGGTACCCACATGTACACACACACAGAAGATGGAAGATAGCGAAGTGTGACCGAGCGTCTCCTACGTATTACAACTTTGGAGTGAGGGCGTGGGGTTGCATGTGCCACTTCAGCAGTGAATCTCTGGTGTCCCTCAGTACGGGATGTCGTTCTGGTAGTACTGGATCATGTCATATGTTCTACTCCTGGAAAAGAAAAGCAAAGCCAGAGGTTAAGTTTAAAAAAAACACTGCACCCATCCTCAGAGAAACAAACATCAAGATCCCACAGAACCAAAACACGGGTGACGGAAATTAGCTGCTAATCAAAACTAGCCCTACATGCTTTGAAGGCATTGTGAAGGCCCAGTTACTGTTATGAACAGCACAAAACATCCTGCCCTTGTTTACACTCTCTGTAACGGCAACTGCAGCTTGGATCCTGTGTTTGGATAAGCCAGACGTACCTCACGTTGCATTGACAGTTTGTGTTAGGAGAAGGAAACACATAGTGAACAAAGCAAGATGGTCACGGCTGCATGGAGACAAGCTTATGTGGAAATAAAAGTAATCTTAATTAAGGAGAATGCTAGTAATGACAATAAAAGTGCAGGGGAAATAACAGCATTAATAGCAGCATCTCTGATGAGTGACTGAAGAAACAAATCTAAGCCTTGTTACAGATAACTCAATTAACCCTGGGCAGAGCTTATTCAGGTCATAGCCTAACCATGCCGCAGGTAGAGAAGCTCAAGCTTGTCAGAACTAAGCTGGCTCTGAGCATTTGAGCAGCAGTGTGATTCCCTTCATAACCCCCAATATTAATCTAAGATTCTGAGCAGATGCACCAGCAGGCACTAGAAAATCCAATTTGGTTCTAGTAGGACTCAAGCCAATGAGCCGTACTGGGCTCAAGCTGAACCCACGTGGAACTACACAAGAGTTTGTATCAGACTCTCCCATACATCCCACAAAGTCTGTGTTATCTGGGATAATAATAAAACATGACTTAAGATCTTAAAGTATTACATTTATTGCATTTAAAGTATTAAATTACCTTTTATGTGTGATTTCTTTTCAAAAGTTTTGCACAAGATACTGAACTATTGGTATACTTGAAGGGAAAAAAACCCTACAGTTGATTTGCTAGCTGGTGATTAATTTTTAAATTGCTAACTATCTGACAGAACTGATTACACCCTTGAGTATAATGAATAATAGATGACAAATAAACATGGCTCAGCTACAAACACACTCAAAAACCACACTGCCAGTGTCCTCTATTTGAAGCATTTTCCCTAGTCAATATTGTACAATAAGTAACATACAGTCTATCAAAATGTAGTATCAAGTCATGAAGAAAAAATTAATAGAAAGCTTAGAATTAATTTCTAGAGAACAGTCAAATACACTTTCGCAGAGAATAGCAGCCTTGAATTTCAGGCAACCTAATGCTTACAAGCGATTATAAAAAAGATTTTGAAAAGTCACTGTAGTCCTGTTCCAGCTTCATTCTTATTCGGACCAATAGGCCATGCATATTGTTTTCTAAAAAACTCTCTCCTTGCAAAATAAAAGGGAACAAGCTTCAACATCAACCTCTCTTCATTCTGACTGGAAGACTTGCTGTTCCCGTTGTGATTCAATGCCACTTTTTACTATTTATCCCTTTATTCATGGAGGTGACCCCACCGTTACGCAAAAGGAAATATCAAAACCAGACATATAACCCTAATAGCACAGTTGGCCTTGCTCTAACATAGGAGCCAAAATGCTTAACTTTTGGGCCAAAGATTCACTCTGACAGAAAATCTTCTATTCTTCAGACTAGCCAGTCCTGCTATTTGACCAGCCTGGGCTTAAGCTTTTCTTTTCAGTGCAAAATGGAGGAGATGCAGCACGTTCAGAAGCAAAGCTGCTATCCTGCATTACCTAAATATCAAGAACTTAAAAATGTTTGGTCTCTGACTAATAAAACTCCACTCTTTAGCTCTGCTCAAATCTTGATGACCTTCCTTTAACCATAGGGAGAAGACATGCATAGATGTCAAACCTGTTGCTGAGGAAACAATTCTGGATGATCTTGAGGATGAAAGTTGCAGCCTCCCGTTCAGTCATGTTGGGGCTAAACCTGTTTCTATACGCAGAAAAATCACAAAGAAAGTAAAATTAGGGGGGTTTCCTTTGCACATGATAAAAGCATGTCTTTGCACTTGCTCTAAGTACCTCCTTCTTGTGAGACCACCTTGTACAAATTACGTCATGTTTTAATTAGCACTTGCCATGAGTCTTACAGCAAAGCCATAGGCTGTGAACTTTTCACCAGCCTCGTGGTAGCTCTAGGAACAGCAGATCCCTCTTTCCAGGCAGCTGCTGCTTTTAAGACATCTTTGTACCTAGCGGTGCCTGTCAGCTCCAGCCCATCAAACTTTACGAATCTGTGCTTATCTTTAGGAAGTTGTAGGAAGTTATATGCAGAAAACGCTGAGCTAACTCAGCTCGCTCAGGAGCCATGAGCCTGAAGGGCTGTTTAGGTTTTACCTTAGAATTTGTATTTCTAAGCTGCTGGACATTACAACATAGTCCTGTTCACTGCGGCATTGTCTGTAGAATAAATTTTAAGATGTTGTTTTTCAGATTCCAACACCATTCTGCAACATATTACCACTAAATTAAAGCAGATCTTTATTCTGCAGTTTTATTTTGCTAGTCCTACGAGCTTAAATATAATTCATGTACTTGCACAATCATTGAACTTAATTGTATGAAACAGCCTCTGCAATTCCTATTTTCTGAGATATTCTATAAACAAAAGTTACCATCTTTACAACGTTAAGACATTTAAGATTTTCGAGTATCACGACACCTACACTCACTGCACAAGCTGTGACAGTGTACATTATGTAAAGAACACATGAACATTTTTCCAGTTCGTACATATACTGACTTACTTCAACAGCTTGATTGTCTGCCCTCGGAAACAGGGCAGCCCCGTATCCAACATCAACGTAACCAGTGAGACGACAGCATCCATGTAAGGCCTAGAGAAGAAGAGGACAAAAAGGTTATAGCAAACTTCTACAGCCTTGGTAGGAAAGGTAGCAAACCCAGGAGTTCAATGAGCTGGATCACACCTTTTTCTGTAATTAAATCAACACATATAATCCTCTTAGGTTTGCTGGTGGAGCCACACCGTCGCTCGCAATCTGTCACTTTTAATTAAATTTCACTCCTTCACGTTGGACTACGAATGCTACAAGACGAACAGTCTCAAGCAGGACTACACAAAGCAATGCTTTAGTGAACAATATTTCTTTGGCATCAGAAAGGTGAACCACTGCATCAAAACAGTACAAAAGACTGAAACCAGCAATACCACAGCAACAGGTTATCTTCTAATTCCTAAGTACTCCGTGTAATTCTTTGCTACATCAGCCCAGCTTCCCTTCTCCTTCCTCTCCTCCTTACTCAGAACATTTATTACCTACCTACCTATTACTCTACTACTTGGGCGACATTTTTGCCTTGACACAAAACTTTCTGCAGGTCGCTCCCCGCTCAAGGAACCAAACTGATCTTGACTCCAAGACAGCACTTTCTGGGGCTACTAGCTGAAGAAACTTTGATTCTGTAAGGTAACATCAATAGTACTTGATACTAATCAAAGAATGAGCTTTTATCTAGCCTCTAACATACTGTCCACCTCCTACCTATACGCAACATCCTCTTCACGTAGATTTATGAATGCTCTTGCGTGTTAAAGCAAACCCTGTTTGCTTGGTATGGCACAAGGTGAAGTTGCAAATCTTTTCAGTAACTGGCTGGCAATCACTGCTGAAGAGCTGAGCTACCAAAACCTCGGCATATTTGACAATATCATTCACTCTAGCTGAAATGGTGGTTAACGTGGTTGTCCTATCTGGGAAAACAAGAAAGACCTTGATTCTCCTGCAGTTTCTTACTGCAAAGTTTTAACAGCATACTAAATTATGTGAGGAAATGTGTGTAACAACACATTTATAAACGGAAAATAAAGAAACGTGTGCAACATCACATTTATGAATTGAATATAATACACAAAGTTTTCAAATACAACAGAAGAACAGAAAAAAACCCTTGCAAAGTTAGGCTGCAAGTCGTAGGATTACTAAGCTGTTTCCGTGTTTGCAAGATGTACCAAGACAGTCTGACAAGCTCAGACCCTCAACAGATAAATGTTTATTACTATCTTCTCATCTGGTTTTAGGCATGCAAGCACGTCCACTTTTGAGCAGTTAAGAACACCTTACCTGACTGCCAGATAGCCTCTGACACACATCTCCATAAACCATTTGAACGGGGTTGCCTCCATTTTTCCTCCCATTATCATCACCATTTCATCAGTCAGCTTAATGTCAGGCTCCCAGCCCAGATTTCCACCAGGTGAGCTTTCAAACATGAACCCAAAATCTGCACACAAAAGATAAGCTGCCTCATAAACTTTCTTGATTAATTGTGTGCTGTCAAAGCTAACAGAAGAAAGGAGAGGTAGATTTCATGTATTAATATCTACTTTTTCTACCAACATTTCAACTCTATTCAACTGGAGAAAACCTTTTGTGAAGTGTAAAAACATCAACAAAAGGATCATCACCATGATACTAGACTAGACTAAAGAATGATGACATCAGATAAAAAAAATCCTTACTGAAACATCTGTGCAGCTGCAGAAAAGCAAAGCTAAAGTAAAGGTTACATAATCATATATATTTACTTGTCAAATTTAATTCATGCTTCTACACTGATGAAAGGAACCCATAGATACATTTATATTATCATATATGTTCACACACATATATGCATGTATGCATGCATACGTATGTATACATGCATAATCCATATGTGTGTGTGTGTGTACATTCTTTCCTGAGGCTGGTGAAACACAGAAGCAGCCACCACGAATATGCACACAATATTGAAGAGGCACATAAAAATCCCATGTGTATTTACAGACTGTGAAGTCAGTACATGGATTGATCTCAAAAGGGAAATGTCTTTCTCTGTTCTATGAACAATACTTTAAAGCAGAAGAAAAAGGTAATTACTGAAATTTGAATGTGGATATGACTGACCGATATGAATGATGTGTCCCTTTTTGTCCAGCATGATGTTGCCATTATGCCTGTCTTTAATCTGGAGCAGGAACAGGAGAAGACTATATGCAGCCATACTGCGAATGAAATTATAGCGAGCCTGTACAAACAAGAAGTTAAAACAAATGAGAAGAACACAGAGAATGTAATAAATCTCCATCCCAGAGGCAGATACAGCTGAACAAGTTTTTTATTTCATTTTTTTTCCATTCATGGTTTGTTTGATGATATTCTCCACGTTATCTACAGCTGCAGTAATTTCTTTAGGTAACACACTCCTAGCTAAAAATGGATTAACAGCATCAGAAATCAGATGCAGCACTATGGTAGTCATTAACCAATTATTTGTCAGGATTTCTTACAGCTAGAATATGAATATTTCTCTGCGGAGATTTTGCTGTGCTTGCCAACTGATATTTTACCTTCTGGAATGCAAGGGTAGACTCATCTCCATACTGCCTTGTAAAGTAATCATACATCCCAGAGTCCGTCTGCCTGCCCAGCTGGTCACGGGATGTGCAGTCCGGAATGCACTCAATAACGCCGCACTGAAGGGGAAGAAGAGAAACAGATCTGTAAGGCACGCTCCCAACATCTATTTTGTTCATGGCTCTTGGCCGTCATACAGGTCCCCTGGGAAATGTGGGAAAGCCTATAGATCCCTGAATACAGAATTTCTAGTTTATTCACAAAAAAAGTATAACCAGATTTTTTTTTAGGATTTCCGTGAAACATAGGACAAAGTCGGTGACTTTCCACTGACTTGTAAAATGTAGTCTCAGAAATCAAACAACAGACATGAATAATCACAGGCAGCAAAATTTTGGAGCCAAAAGCTTTAGAAAAGCAGGAAGCAGGAGAGGAAAGACTCTTTTTTGTTGCTGATACTCCAAATATTTGGTGTGATGTTGGCAATATTTCCTTGCAGCACGGAATTTTTGTGTGTGCTGGAAGAGAAAGTCTTTACTAATTAGGAACTATTTTCTACAGCAGTACAGTTAATTGCCCACTTACCCCAGGAGCTGTGGCCACCACTCTGTATGGAAACACAAAAAGATCCAGGCCTACCAGCTGAAATATGTTCTTGAAGAGATCGATGATTTGTAAAGCTAACATGTCCTGTTATACATGAAAAAAAATTGCACAAGCATTAAAAGGGTCACAGATCATAATTTAGATTACAAAAATGATCTGAAGAACGCTGAAGTGAACATTAGTACCCCAGCAGGTCTGCAGATGTGTGCTTGTGCATGCACTGGGGCTCTGGGGGAAATCCAAAAGGACAAAGATAAATGCTGTTTTAGAGGACAGCAAGCAATACTGAAGATTTAATTGCTGACCTATGAATAACAATTTTTTCCGTCACTCTTATCAAAGAGCGCTACTAATAAGTTCAAGGATGACAGCTAGCATTCCCTCTTAATCAAAGCCAATCAAACTTCATTGTTCAAGATACCACCTTGGAAACAACTGCTATGTTACCAATAGTTCAAATGACACACAAACTGGGAAATAAAATAATTAAGACACGGTAAACTGTCTTGAAAAAATATCCTTTGTTTCCAAAACAGAATTTCTTTAGTGGTACCAAGACTTTTCTCTCTTGATCCACAACTAGTGGAAATTCTCAAAATTTCAAAGAAAATTATTTCTATACTAGAATTATTTTCTTCTTCATTACTGTCACTTCAAGTATGTCTTCTGTAACTGCAAAGCCCGATAGCTTTGTACCTGTCTGCAGTCATCGCCCACTTTAAAGATAGCTGCCTGCCAACAGATTTTCTTACTGTCCACCCCTTCTTCTGCACTTTCATCTATTGAATCAGAACGACAACGCAGACCTGCAAGAAGAGCGCATAACAAAACCCAGAAACAGATTTTAATTAGCAACTTTCTACCACAACAAGCCCTCTGCATTCAGAAACACAACATTTCACGGCAGGCGCACTACAGAGATTTCTGCCTTGCAAGCTGAATGCCATAAAATAGTTCCTTTTGTCTACTGGAACATATCAAAGTAGTTCACGATTTACCTGATAAATGCCTGAACTGCATTAAGCTAGTCAGCTAGAGCATCCCACACAACTTATTATGAGAAAAAACTGCCAAAACTTTTGGAGTTTGCTACAGTCAACAAAAACAGGGAAAGGCAATCAATTTATATATTTGTCTGAAGTAACTTAAAAAAGATACCTATGTGGCTTGCTTCCTGGAAAGGAAAAAAAAAAAAAAAAAGGATTTAAGTTTCCAGAATTTTCTTCTCTCTTCCTTTGGTCCAGTTTCATTTCTGAGCCAAACCATTGCAGATAAAGTTCATCATTGAAATAATTTTACTGCAGCAGTACAGGTCACTAAAAGCAGGCAGTTTTAAAAGAATTGCTGACTCTTACTTAGTACTGTCAATGATTAAGACACAGTTACTAACCTTCTTTTTCAAGCTCACTAACTCCACATCGTTTCACTTTAAATTTGGCCAGGTAGGGTGCTTTTGCTGCGCTAAATTGTAATAAAAACAAAGATGATGATGAGTGCAAGTTAGCCAAATAAGGATTTCTAGAAAAATACCTAAACATCATGAATTAAGGTAATGGGAGAGCACAACAGGAGCATGGTACCTCTGCATAGGAGTTCCTGATTTGTAATCAATGTCCAGAACAATAGCTTCAGGATTGCTGGGCAAGTAACAGCCTGCAAAATTGAGCAGACAGCTGAGAACTAATCCACTGGTTAGTGTGACTGCAATTTAGAGACTAACATGACTTCTCAAAAGTACCTCCTCTTTTTAAAAGGGAAGGTGGTCCAAAGAAAGAGTTTATTTATCTTCCCTCTTCAGACACAGATTTCTCTCATCCATGATGTGCGTTACCTAACTTGCTCTTGGGCAAGTTTTGATACACCATATAGAAATTATTTGGTGGGCAAAAATATTTGAACTGTTTCAAGAAAAAACCCGTCCAACTATAACAGAAGAACAGCCGTCACCATCAAAACTGAGAGCTGCTACGTGCAGAGATTTCAAGATTTGCTTGCAGAAAATACAGTACGCATGTTGAATGCAAAAAGCCCACTATATGGTATGGTTAAATCACTTCTTACCAGGCTGCACTTTCACCTCAGACAGAGCACTCAAACAAGCTTTTTTCCTTTCATCTCCTTTAGGGAATGGCCTAGAAAGATGAACAGCTTGTTATTTATCTGCATGCTATATATTATTCTAAATACTAGCCTCAACATTTTGTTTCAAATTTATATCAACTTCACTAAAATTGTTTCTTCCTGTAACACCAAAGATCTCTAACTGCACCACTTCTAGTGAACTTCCAGGCTCAATACCTAGCCAGAACATTTGCTATCTTAGAATCATAGAATGGCCTAGGCTGGAAGGGACCTTAGAGATCATCTAGTCCAGCCTCACTGTCACGGGCAGGGACGCCACCTCTCAACTAGACCAGGCAACACATGGGGACCGAGCGGGAATCGAACCCGCGACCTTGGTGTTGTCATTGCTGTCAGCACCGCACTCAAACCACTGAGCTCACCGGCCCCCTAACTTAACAAAGGTTATAGTCATTGCTTTGAAGAATTAACATTGATTTGATAGACAGGTTGTTGGCAAACCCAAATAGTCTAGGAATTGTGAATGAAATCTATGAAGGTTCTTCTTTATATAGAAATTTGAGCATAATTACATCTTTGTAAGTATTGCTGCAGTTACATCAGTATAATTTTCCCTTGTGGAACTTATTCTAGGATAAGAACATTGCCAACTGGAAAAGGACAAGCCAGCAAAATGTCTATCCAATTGCACGTCTAATTTGTGCACATATTTAGCCTGACTGCAGGTGTCAAGCGAACAATCGGTAACATGGTTAACAATTAGTAGGTACAACTACCCACTCTGTGCAGGCGCTTGTGCTGACCCCCTACTCAAGTCAGTCACACAGGTGCATGCTCACCTGGGGTAGCAGCGTGCAACTGCAAGGTATTACTTACGCTCTCTTTTTAAGCTCTATGGCAGAGTACCGAAGCAGCAACGTAACACTTAATGAAATATCACAGATGACACATTGATTCATTCATTTACACCATCTACAAAGCAAACAGCATCTCCTCTATGTTGTCTTTACATTGGAGATGCACAAAACTCAGATTCATTTTAAGTCTGGGATGCAAAATGCAATGTTTGCAAAGCACAATTACTATCCATTGCTTAATTACGACTTCACACTATCAAACAATGGCTTGTTGTTAGAATGATTTCATTCTAAATATCAGGATATTCAGATCCCAACCACCCCTTTTAACTCATCCTACCGGGTGAAAACATTGTAACACACACATGGAAGCATCTAATATTTGATTGTTCCCATGATGAAGCCACCTTTAGCCTGATACCATCGTCTCAAAGGAGGTATCATCCAGGACATATGATTTATGTAACTTTCACATTCTTTCATACATCATAGAGTAGTTTAAAAATAGTGAAACCACACTTACAGACCTAGAGCTTGTGTGCTGAGCTGCTGCCATCCACTGGCAAGCTTCATAAAGTTCAATTACAGATCTTACAGCCAACAGTGAGAATCTCTCTAGGAGTGGAACTTTGTTTTGACATCAACAATCCAATGTTTATGAAATCAAATCTTTCTCCATGGCCACAATTTAGAAATGAAGGAAGAAGACTTACATATGCAAGAAGAACAGTCATCTTTGTATTACACTGCACAATGAAATCTCTTTGAGAAGACATAAAAGACAATTTCATGGAGTTTTAGCAGAAGAAGTTTTAAAGAACCGTTTACCTACGTGTGAGGTTTTATAGGTGTGTGGTGTTCGTGTGTTTTTTTCCTGCCTGAATCAAGCTCTGCTCACTTTTCAGAAGAACATTGGCGGCATATTGGAAAAAATGAATTAATGATACAGGTAACAACTAGACTGATGACAACTAGGACAAAAACACCAATTGTTTTACCAATTCCATTCCTGTTTCAGTGCATTTTTCTATGAAACTCCTTTCTACTATTACCAACCACAATGCACTTGATAAAATCGGATTAAAAACTAAAATTCGAGTTTAGAATCATCTGCTTTCAAAGTAAAAAATCATAGCTAGCTCAAAGCATACGCATTATCTCTGAAGGTCAAACTAAACTGAGCCTTTGATCCTACTATAACTCTTGAGTTACATTTAACAAAAAAATCCATTTCTTTTATTGTAAGTAATTAATTCTTTTTTTTCCTGTAAACACTATGCAAATACCCCTAAAAGCAACGGTAGCCTCTTACTCAGGACATTGGTAATTAACAGATTAGCCAGCCCCAATAAACATCAATTCTAAGTACAGCACTTACTTGATAATGGCTGAAACGTTGGTGATTTTATTAAAGAAGTCAAATTCCCGCTGGTAGAACTCCTTGGCTGGGCCAGACAATGAGCCAGTAATCTCCTCCACCAGCTGCTCCAGAAGTTCCCCAATGTCAGCTGCATGTGAAAAAGGAAGCCTTTGTGTCAGAAGCTTATTTCAGAAAGCTAAACGACACGAGTGACGGAAACAGCCACCTTCAGATAGTATACAAAAAAAGGTACAGATGCAAACATCGCCACATCTCTCTCGATGCATTCTGTCAGGTAGAACTTCTCCAGAATGGGCCCTACCTCTACAAATGAAAGAGAAGTTCCTAGCTTCTAGTTCTCTCCTGCTAAGAGAGAAGCAGGAAGGCGATTTAGTCTGGACTGAGACACTGAAATGAGTCAAGCTAGATTACATTTTAAAGCACTTACGATCCTTTTGGTGTCCTTCTTCATCCAGGTAGATATTAGTTTTCATGTTCCAGATGAACTGGTGAGCCAATAGCTGGGATTTGGCAGCTGCCCACAGGATGTATTCTCTAACGTAACCCATCTGCAACCATATTCAGTCCAGTAAGGATCAAAGATCATTACAACTCTAGCAGACTCGATACTACTGCTTCGAACAGCTATCCTTCACACTCAAAACCATTTAACGGATGGAAAGATCTCCACACTCTCATTCACACTGCTAAAAAGCCAGTGTATTTTAAAAGGTAGTATACTGCCAAAACTGGTTTTAGCTTTATTACTGATATATTCGTTATTCTAATCAACTTCTACTTTTGTGCCATTTTCTATCTGTTCCATTTGGATTTCAAATCTCTTGTATCTTAGGAGATTCCTTCTCCTCTGCTTGCAGCTACTTTTGCAGTCTGTAAACGGTTCTACGCTTGACGAGATGGCTGATGTTCATGCTTTGCACTGCAGAGGATACTTACTATGCAAAGTTCTCAAAGAATAACTAAATACAGTCACCTACACTACTAGCTGAGAAAGTCTTCACCTGAAAATAATACACTGACCAGGGATCATCTACCTTGTGGGCAGATAACAATGGCCTCACATTAACGAACTCTGTACTTGGTCATCAAGCATTACTTCTGGCTTCTGCCAGATGAAGCTAACATGCAATTTAATGTACATGCTGGAGCACAAGACATCCCTAGATGTCTTTTCTGGTTAACTCCACATCAAAATGATTAAGGATAACGATTTAGTTTCATTACTGCTTGTTTAATGCAGGCCTTCAAAGACTTTATTCACACAGAATCCTCATCCGCTGTTTTCCATAACAAGATCTCTTTCCTGACAGATGAGCTGCATAGCCCCTGGTTTCTCAAGTTTACCTGTTCCTAAAGGAGGTATAACCAAAGCAAGCCAGCCTCTACAGACACCAGTTTTTCATCTATGTATTAGAGCTACAGGACAACGATAAGCAGCACTAGTTCAAGCTTAAATTTTGTCCGAATTGCAGTTGACTGCAAAAGCTGCTTTAAAAATCTGTTTTGTTCGTATGCAGCAGTTGCATATCCTCACCTTGTCATATCGAAGTGCCTGCACGATCTGTGGAATGTAGAATAAAATAGCATCCTGAAAGAGAGAAGATGGCAGGGTTTTGTGGGTGTTGTTTTAGTAGTGGGAAGCAAAGACTGGGCACTTGCACAAAGAAAAACTCCCCTCAGTTAGGCGATGAATAAAATACCATTACTCCTTCATTTTGAAGTATACATATGCTACCACTTCAAATCAAAATATTTTTTTGTCCTGCTACTCCCTTCAATAATATAATTAACAATTAATGTTAAAAACACAGCCTTCTGCTGCCTTAGAAGAACCCTTCCACTGAGAGAAGATTTGAACCAAACAATTTAAGCAGAGCAGCCTGAAGAACTCAGCCTAATGTGATTTAGAGCAAAAAAAGCTGCAAGTAGATGAGTCAGTACTATGTGGCACAGTCAACTTCAATTTTGCCTCCAGTCTATTCCCATTCTACAATGTGGTGTGCCCATTTACCATGTGTGTCTCTCCACAATATTAAAATGAAGGCTGTGGCTACAAGGACTAAGGCCGTAACTTTACTTGGCCTGTTAAAGCTCTCTTGGAACCTATCTTACCGGAGGAAAAGATCGGAGGACTTTAACCCCGTACTGAGCCGTTAGAGGATGAGGCGGGTACATGCTTGAAAAATAGGAAAGGCCAGTTGGTGGATCTGTTGGTGCCCAGCACAGAACATGGCTGAGCTCAGGCGCATCTGCATCAATCGTGTGCCACGTAACCAGGTACTGAAAAAGAAGGACAGACACATTAGAAGTTCATGGCACCCGGAAATGTCTGGGTAATCCAGGTGAGACAGCAATGCTATAATCTAGTCTCCTCTAGCAGGGGAATTGAAACATGCTACATTTTATTTTACAGAACCACAGCTATTCTACCTCAAGCATTTTTCTTCCATGGAAATCTACCTATTGGAATCACCTCACCTCCCAGATCACCAGATGAAGTTAGTGAAGTCAAGTTACTAAAAGCACAATACAGGAGCTCTAGTATAGGGAGAAAGAAGAAAGGATAAGCCCCTTTTTTAAGAGCAGAAGAAGGTTCAGTTTTCCTGTCATCTATTTTACAGGTGATGTACAGAATGAAGCTCTGTCAAGACTGTCCCTCATGTGACCAGAGTGCTTCACCGCAGATTGACATGAAGTCACGGAATCACAGAAATGTCAGGGGTTGGAAGGGACCTCGAAAGATGATCTAGTCCAGCCCCCCTGCCAGAGCAGGATCACCTACAGCAGATCGCACAGGAACGTGTCCAGGCGGGTTTTGAATGTCTCCAAAGAAGGAGACTCCACAACCTCCCTGGGCAGCCTGTGCCAGGGCTCTGTCACCCTCACAGTGAAAAAGTGTTTTCTAACATTTTTATGGAACCTCCTGTGTTCCAGCTTGTACCCATTGCCCCTTGTCCTGTCACTGGACATCACTGAGAAGAGCCTGGCACCGTCCTCCTGACGCTCCCCCTTGACGTATTTCTAAACATTTATGAGGTCACCCCTCAGCCTCCTCCTCTCCAAGCTAAAGAGACCCAGCTCCTTCAGCCTCTCCTCATAAGGGAGATGTTCCATTCCCTTCATCATCTTTGTGGCTCTCCTCCATTTTTAGAGGCTCAGCCTCTCAACATACAGAACAGGTTAAGCTTGATGTAATTTCAGCAGCAGCACCAGTGGTCTTTTCACATATTATGCAAAACGAACAGAAATGGTTGCTGTACTGCAATGTGATGAGCTTTGAGACATTTTTTTGTATGGTGAGAATATGCCCAGGAGCAAGATGTACCATTAGCTAAGGAACCACCCACTATTATTACGATGACTCTTGCCTCAGGACCCTATTTCCACAGCTGTTCTGTCATTCTCTCCTACAGAGCTATGCTTAGTACTAGAACACACACGGCATTTACTAAAGACTGCATTTTCCAATACATCTGGATGAAACAGACATACTGGGGTCCTGTAAAGCTGTAAATATTCACAAGTACCTTTATGGCTTCAGGAACATCACTAACAGCTCCTGGGTCCAACCGTACCAGACGGGTTACTTCTGTTCCAATAGCTTCAGTGTTCTTAAATCTAAGTATAACCAGGAATATAACACCATTACCAGAAAATTTTCACAGCCTCTTCCATTTCTGTGGCGATGAGGACAGCAAAACGCAGAAAAGTATATGCTTAATAAACAAACAGTCCAACTACGAAATAATGCACACTGAGGGACCATATGCTGTCAAAAGAGGATTTGGGAACAACTGGTCTTCATCCAGTGCTTTTGTATGAACCACTAGTATTTTAGCCCACTATTAGATTCTTGGCTGAAATACACTGTCTGGGATTCTACAAAAAACAGTGGGTAGAATTCTACTTGGCAAAAACTATCACTGCTGTAAGCAGGAAAGAATTTCCTTTCCCTTCCAGGGCCAACTATGCTAATTCTTCTATGATACTCTCTAAAGCGCAAGCCAGTATATAGCTTTAACACTGCAATCAAAGACCCTTTTAGCACTATTTAAATGCTATGCCTGCTAATGGGTTAAACGCCATTAAAAATCAAACATGATTTCTTTTGAACAAAACAAGGTCTAAGTGTTAGCAAAGAATGGGTGGCAGAAAAGGAAGGTGGAGTCCACTAGAGCCTGAACTAAACTAGTACATTAAGTAATCTAGTTCTTTACATTTCAAAAGCCTCAACCAGCTGTAAATGTACGCAAGGGGGCTATAAAGGAACAAGGGCCATCAGACCTGAAAGTGTAAGCCCTCACTTGGAATTACACGAGTTCTTTCTCTTGAAATATCTCACCTGGTAGGCAGCTGTACAGCAAGATGAGGAGAAATGCTCCAGGCCAGATTTACATTATCCTTCCACTGCTTCTCACTAAGACTGATATACTTAGACCTCCAGTTTGCTACACTGCTCTCTCCAGTTTGATCCAGCTCTAGCTCAGGGGAAGACAGCGGATTGTACCATGTGATTAAACGTTCAATCTCTGTGGCCTGAGGGAAACAGACAAGAAATAATGTGTTTTCTGGAAGAAGAAAAAACACTCACAACTTCACACTTGGGTTTACATATCTTGCAACAACAACAGAGTCTTAGAAACTCATGCTGTTTCCTCATTCTCCTGATGACCCACCAGCAAGGAGAGCAGTAATGTTCTTCGCTTCATGTAGTACTTGTGTAGCTGCGTACCTCTGTTAGTCTTCTTAGACATTCCTTAAGGAAAGGATAAATAAGTGTTCAGTGGCTTTTTGTTAAACAGTGCTTTTAGACTGACCACAGCCAGCAACATTAACATATACAAGAGCTGAATGACCATAGGACACTTGTAAATTTTGGTCAGAGTGGCTTTAAGAAATCAGCATTGATGGTTTTCTCTGAACATAGGGAGTACAACAGGCTACAGGGATATCAATTCAGCCAGTATCACATTCACTTTAGAAATATAACAATCTACCAAAAAGAAAAAGCGCACAGTTTACAACTGTTACAAAAACATCGCCCACAATCTAACGGCACTCTGCTGCCCCCAAAAAGCATATTTGTACCAAGCAATTTCCTTATAGTACTTCAACACACCCTGACCTCCACCCTTACATCTTCTGCACTACAGAACTTAACATTCTACGAAAAAAAACCCCAGGCAATTTCAAAGCTTTGCTGCATGCTACCAGTAAGACTTTTTCAGTCTGCTCTACAAAGTTTGGCACTGCTAATTAGATACTCTGCCTGAAGAACAAGAGCCCAATATTAAAGGCAAATATTGACTTTAAGCAATATTTCCATGTAAACATATTGTAAAGTTGAATGCAATGAGCTGGTTACAATCAAAAAGATACCTGATTTTTTAGATATGGTTGACATGCCACTGGATAAAGGGTAAGTATTTATCCATCCCTGTGTAGCCTGTTGCCGAGATCCAACGTTGATATCCAGGTTGCTCCTGGTGTCTTGATTATCTAACAACAGAGCACAGATCTGACGTGAAATCCAATCAAAGAAACAAGAGGCTCTTGAAGTGGCACATAAAGGAACTCACCAGGCGGCACAAGTTGGCTGGCAGTCAGATACTTCTTGTCCGAGAACATCGCTGTCCAAAACTTGATCAATATGCTGATATCCTCACGAAGCCTTTTTTCCCCTTGCGTAGGGAACTTTGAGGGACAGCTTAAAGAAATCACACAAGTGATGTGAAGCTGAAGGTATTAGAAAAAACCAAAATCCTCTCCAAATCAAGACATAGTTATTATTCCAAGCAGAAACTACAAGGATGAGACTACATGTCACTACATTTTATCCTCATTGCTTTATTCTGTCTGACTAAAAATTTTCTATTATAAGCCAAAAATTAAGCAGCAGTCTGTCAGTATGTTGGATTCATCTGAAATTTAATATTATGGCTGTCCGATCTCACATTCAGACATTTCTATCAATTACACTATTTTCTGTTGTGTCCATGTTAAACATTGAAACAATCAAATTCAGTGTGGGTGCATCAAAACAGTGAAACTATATTTCAGCCACACACTGTAACTGCAATTCTTTCAATCTTATAAATCTTGGTAGAGTTTTGAGCATTTAACAGACCCTAAAACAAGGAAAGAATGAACAGAAACATTCCTGAAGGTACTACTTTATAAAAACACAAGAACTGGAACTTATATCTAAGCTTTTTTGAGATGGTTTATGAATTACACAAAAGCACAAGGAAAAGTTTCTGTTAAAATGAGTGGAAAAAAGAACAGAAGTTGTTAGATCACTAGAAGAGAAAGACAAGTGCTGCTTTGCAGTATGGAAAGGTTCAAGAAATCAGACACTTTCAATGACTAGTTGCAAATAAAAAAATACCTGAAATAATCAAAGGCAGTTGAATAAATCTTTTCTCTCAAAACGTTTCGAATAGTTGCATTTGGAACCACATCAGCATGCAGCAGAGACAGCCCCAGAGTCAGTAACCTAATAAGCAAAATAGTTAGAGAACGAAAATTTAGGCAATCCCAGAATGGCGACTAAGGCAACACCACACAAACCACAGCTACAGCTGTAACTCCATTCAGCTCACTGAAAAGTGTCTTGGCAAACTGTTTTCATTATCATCAGTCCGTTCCTAAAGC